TGCAAATACAAGGTTATATGTGTACACCATTTTAACAACCCAACACCAAACAAATCCCAAAGTCACTAATTTTCTATACATACACTGATATTATCCCTTGTATTAAAGTTTCAGTTCTTCAGTCCTCAGGCCCTTTTAGGGATAAACTCCTTCCCACATATACATGGACTATAAAAACCCTTGTTTTCTTCCATGGCCCTTTAAGACACCTGAGGTCACTATCTCTCTTAAGCCCAGCCACAAGAGTCCCCCAGGAATAGAATCCTGGGTCTACCTCCCTGTCAGTCTCCCTGCCCTTTAAATGGTATCTTACACTCAAAGTAGTGAACATTCACCCCTTTGTGATTTTGAATGACCTTCAAGATCCCATATGCCACTCACTTAGGCTCCACCTCCTTTTAGCAGATTCCTAAAGGGTCTGGGTCTCTGGAAGTCCCCTCAAGCCTCTGGTCTTTTTAAAGACCCATACAAAGATCTGTACACTTTCTCTGTGGCCAGGGGAAATCCTGAGGATCCTAGTAAACCTCCCCTTCCATGGCACTGTCTGAAACTGAAGTAACACACCTTCCACAAACACCTGCCTCCTCAGAATCAGAGCCTCCTCCCAGCTCCAAATCATAACCCTGCAGGGATCCTTCCCATGCTCCCACCGGGCTGTGTACACCCTCTCCACGACGCGGCCTATCCCTAGGATTAGCCCCCACTACAAGTGCCCCTCAGCATTAGAGTCCTGTGTCCTCCCTGGGGTCCCAGTCCTTTCCAGGCCCATGCTCACTCAAAAGTGTGCACACTCCCCCACACATTCCCCTGCCAGCAGGATTTCGAGGTCCCTGCCCGCCACTCAGAGGGGTACACATCTCCCTTGACTCCTGACCCTGAAGTCATAACGCCACCGCGCAAACACATAGGGGCTTCCACTCTGGAATAGGATCATGCCAAGTCTCCTCTTTCCCCAGGCCCAGGACAGCAGTGCCACCTCAGCTTTCCCTGAATCGACCGCCCCCACAGACCTGCCTCAGGCGCCGTCTGGCTCCGCTCCGCCATTTTTGTTGTCCCTCAGACTCCGAGCCCACGCGAAAACCTCGGGGCAGTGGGGAGCGGGCGGTGGGATCCTGGAGCTGACAGGAGCTCCCTCAGGAAGACGCGGCACGAAGGTTGCCAGGGCAACGGGCGGCCGGCTTGCCGGCGCTGGCGCGTGGCGGGGGGCGGGGCGGGAGGGACGGGCTAGGAGGGAGCGTGCGTCCGAGGCCCCGCCCACTCCCCCCCCCCACCCGCCTGGTGGCTGCGGGGTTGGGAACGTTAGCTGCTCCCGCGTCGGAGCTACCGCGTCCAGGCAACTGAGCATGCTCCGCCGCCCCTAGGGAACCTGGGCTCTGGTGGGCTAGGCTGGCACCGGGTGCCTGGTGCTGTCCACAGAGCCTGAGTTGATGTTTCTATCGTTAGAGCTCAATTCTGAGACCTTAGGCAGGTTTCTTGATTTCCCAGTGCTTCTTCCCCTAGCGTGCCTGACATTCCTCGATATGCTAGGTGACTTGTGTATTCAGTTTAACTACCTTGAAAAATAAAGGTGGTGTGCCCACTTCAACCCAGACACACAAAGGTCCAGTGATTGTGGCTCCTTTCCCCTCTTCAACCGCACTTGCCCCCAGTTCTGAAAAAGACTTTTCTTTTGTTGATGTAGGGATGCTCTTTTCAGTCACTATGTTCTAAGACCAAACTGGAAGGTTATCCTTTCCTAGCTGGCTCCCCTCCTACACATAGTTCTCTGTACATTTTCTTGCCCTAACATTTTTTTTTTTTTACAATGCTTTATGCATTATTTCCTTCTTTCTACCTCGACTGAGTTCCCTGATACCTGGGGTTGTTCTCTTCAAGTGTGTACACGCCATAGGGCAGCATGATGCATGACATAGAATAAGTATTTGGTAATTATTTGCTGAATGAAAAATGATTCCTAAATTCATTCCTGCACATTCTGACAGGTTTTATTGAGCACTTAATTTTCTAACAAGTTCTTTCCTAGGTAGGCCCCTTCTTCTCAAGGCGATCACAGAGCAGAACAAAGAGAAAATGATTTTGATAAACTGGGTTTGAAGTGCTAAATCAGGGAGTCAGAACTCAAAACTGTAATAGTGGTGAGAAGTAATCAGTGAAGACTTCAGAGGGAAATGAACACCCTTGCTGAGTCTTGAAGAATAACTAGATGTCAGCCAGGCAGAGGAGTGGAAGAGTGTTGTGGGCAGAGGACCTGTGTAAGTGGAGGAAAAGAAGTGCATGTGATCAGCAAAAAACTGCAAGAAGTCAAGGATGGTGGAACACAAATCCTACAGGGAAAACTGTTGTCTCTAAAGAGGTCAATATATCACTAGGTAACTTCTTCACAAGGGTTCTCCAAAAAGAGCCTCAGGCAAGGACTTGGGAATTTGAGGAGAAACAAGTGAGACTGAAAAAGAGAAGGGATATAAAAAGCCAAGAAAAACCTGTTATTTAGTCAATTCAGTAGATAGCTGTGTTTAATGTCACTGAAGATGCTCTAAAGAACTGTGTGGAAAATAACAAAAATAGTAGTAGAAGGAAGATCAGTGTAATAGAGAAATGAATCAAGTGGCGGGAATAGGCAAGGGAAAGCACTTAAGACAGAAATAAAACTGATTATATACATGTATGAATATGGCATATTGAATCTCACTAATGTATAATGCACCAGTAAAAAAATAAATTTAAAGAACTGTGTCGAATGTGCCTTAGACATTGTCCCACTAAAGAACAAGGAAGCTGGGGCATTTATCATATCATTTCCATCTCCATTAGTTGAGTTTTATTCTCCATCCCCTAGCTAACCTCTCTTATCTTTCCTGGATTTGTTTCTCAAAGAGGAGCAAACTTGCTGAGTTTGAGAGAAAGCTTAAAGGCAAAAAAGCAAAGATGAACCAGAAAGCCTTTGAGGTAAGATGCATTTACCTGCACTAAAATCAGGGATAAGTTGTGGGTACCATAAGAATCTTCTTCAGAAAGTTATGTGAAAATACCCATCAGGTGGGACTGCAAATTGGTGCAGCCAATATGGAAAGCAGTATGGAGATATCTTGGAAAATTGGGAATGGAACCACCATTTGGCCCAGCTGTCCCTCTCCTCGGTCTATACCCAAAGGACTTAAAAACATCATACTATAAGGACACAGCCACATCAATGTTTATAGCCGCACAATTCACAATAGCTAAACTGTGGAACCAATCTAGATGCCCTTCAATAAATGAATGGATAAAAACACGTGGCATATGTACACAATGGAATATTACTCATCAATAAAAGAGATCAGAATCGTAGCATTTGCAGGTAAATGGATGGAGTTAGATGGAGTTAGAAAATGCTCAGTGAAGTTAGCCAATCCCAAAAAACCAAATGTCAAATGTTTTCCTTCATATAAGGAGGCTGATTCATAGTGGGATAGGGAGAGAGAGCTTGGGAGGAATGGACAAACTCTAGATAGGGCAGAGGGGTTGGAGGGGAAGGGAGGGAGCAAGATGTAATTAATGATGTTGGAATGTGATTATCATTACTATCCAAAGTACATGTATGAAGACACAAATTTGTGTGAATATACCATGTATACAACCAGACATATGAATAATTATGCTCTATATATGTAATAAGAATTGTAATTCATTCTGCTGTCATATATAAATAAAAAATTACATCAAAAATAAAATCTACATTCAGATTAAATGCAAAAAAAAAAGAAAATATTCTTCAGAAATATCTTTCACGGGGCTCAAATGGTATCGCACTGCCTGGCATGCGTGGGGCGCTGAGTTGGATCCTCAGCATCACATAAAAATAAAATAAAGATGTTGTGTCTACCGAAAAACTGAAAAATAAATATTAAAAAATTATCTCTCTCTCTCCCCTCTCTCTCTCCTCTCTCTCTTTTTTTTAAAAAAAAGAAATATCTTTCACATTTGAGCATTTTAAAATTCACATCATGTCCACAGAAACAAGAAGATTGGTGCACACATGCTTTTCACAATCCTGATGACAGGTAAAGACTGAGAGCTGTGGGAATTTCAGAGTGGGAAGGCTCACTGAGAGCTGAGGAGAACAAACAAACATCATTCATAAGGATATAGAAGAAAAAAGAAAGATCTGGGTTCCATTAAGACTCTGACTTTAACATAGCTTTATAATCATGGACATATCACTTAAACATACTGAGCCTCAGTTTTCTTTTCCAACAAACTGAGACAAAGTCTCTCCAGATTTCTCTAAGTCACAAATGGGGTGATGGATGAAATTGCATTTTACAAGTATAAATCCAGTAAACCTAAAAACCTACAATATTTGGAATAATCAATTATGCAAACATCTCCTAATACACCTTCTGAGCCAGGCTCTATAAAGATGTTGAGGGTAAAAAAGGTGAATAAATACAGTAGAGAACTACACTGCTCAATTTTAATTTTAATACAATTTAGAACTCAATTATTTAGTCAGACTAGACTCATCTGGCTACATGTGGCTAGTGGATACCATATTGGACAGCATCTGTATAGAACATCTCCATCACTGTAAAAGGTTCTGTTAGAGAGGGTTGATAGAGGAATGCCAACTGGGCACAGGAGATGGAATGCCTGGAAAATTCTTTCACTAACAGAACCAAATTCACTTTTTATTTTTATTTTTTTGTATGTCAGTTACTTCTTAGAAACAGTGAAGGAAGCAGTGTAGACTCCTTCATCCTGCTGGAGTCCTCAGAGATTTCCCTTTTGTTGTGTGAAATAGCACAGCATGAAGAATGGGGTAGAAATGCCCCCTATGTGGGCTCTGAGGAATTAGTTTTCCCATGATACCATTAAAGTGTCTCTAGGATGTCTGCCTTCCCCAGAGTCTCCTGTTGTATCTGCATCCACAGATAGCGCCCACCCACTAGAAAGTCAGGGTGCCTGACTTTAAACAAAACATTCTCTGTAGAATTCACCACTCCCACTGTAAACATTTATTAAAATGGCAACTTTATTAAAATGGCAACTCCCATGTGCCTGGCCACTGAATTAAGTTACATACAGAATGGAATGAGAAAAATATTCAAAGTATACTCACATTTTTATGTGCACAAAGCCTCTTATTTCTCAACATTATAAAATTAGTATGAATATCATTTTCTTGGAAAATGAAATGAGACTTAAGAGAGTTTGAGTTACCCAAAGTAATATCAGAAAGTAGCAGAATCAGGAAAGACTGGAATGATGCTATGAAATTCACCTGTCCATGTAATTTTCACATCAAAAATGCCATGCCTTTGAAGTTTACAAATTAATTGGGAAGGAATGATTAACATGCACAAATTCAGTTTACAATTAACTTCAAGCTTGTGGTAAGAGTACTGAAACAGGCTTGCTCATACGGTGTAGAAGTACCAAAGAGGAATAATCTTTTCTTCCTCCTTTCTGGAGGAAATATCCTAGAGCTGAATATGAAGAATGAGGTGGGATCAAGTAGATGAAACGTAAGATGGGAAGAAGAGAAGGGAAAATACTTCTTAATCCAACTTATTATTTGTATTTTTGCTTTGTTTACATTGGTTTGGCCATCTATAAATGTTACCAGTCTCTTTTAATCAACTTTTTCATCACTGGACCAAAAGACCTGACAATAACAATTAGAGGAAGAAAAGTTTATTTTGTCTCACAGTGTCAGAGGCCTCATCTCATGGCTTCTCCAGAGCTCTGGGCCTGAGGTGAGGCAGAATACCATGGGCAGAAGGGCATGGCTAAAACTATAAAATAATTATTTTAGTATTTCATATTGCTATGAATTGGGAAATATGGATTCAACTTTATATTTTTCTCCATATGATTATTCTTTTGCCCAAACAACAGTTATTGAATAACCAACACATCTTCCTAGTCATTGATTTGAGGTGTCACTTTAATAATACACTTAATTCTTGTATTTGTGTAGATACCTCTGCTTTCTGTTCCATTCTATTGAAATATCCATAAATTCATGCACTAGTATCCACCCATGTTGATTAAAGTATTATGATACTTTGTAATATCTAGCTAGAACCACTCTCACTTTTGTATCAGTCTTGTTTTCTTTTTTAACTTTCTGTGTTTTATTATATTTTTACATCTTAAAAAGCATGCTAGTTTGGAAAAGTTCGAACCACATAGGGGTAGAGATTACAAGGGGTTCCACCACTGGAAGCAGC